CTGGTCACTCGACGCTTGGTTTTGTCCACCGGAGTATGCAGTATGAATTTCCGGCTAAAATAGCTCGCGCATCGCTCCGAGTCCGACGAAGCATGGTCGCCGAAGGAAATTTCGACTCTTTCGTCGTGCTTCGTCGGATTGGACAGCAACCTCACGGTTGACCAAAGCTTGCTCACACCAGAGGTGAAGTTACAGGTCTTCAGATGCTCCTCCCACTTCTTCCGCTTATGTACGTTTACTAGTTGCCGAATCTCCGCGTTGAGATCCCTGATACGGGGATCTCCGGGATCGGCCTGACGAAGGCTATCACGCTCATCGGCTAGAACAGCCGCTTCGGCAGGGAAGTTTGGACGTGGGTCCGTTATACATCCTGCCGGTATGAAGCGAGCTGCAGCAGCAGTGACAGCCCTGCGGAACTTACGTTCACCGAGATGGACGTCGGTTGGTATGGGGAGCGCTGTGAAGGTGTTTTCGGTAAACTCCGCGTAACCTTTCCAATCAGCTTTAGAAAAGTTGATATAGGTCCGGTGTTTGGCGGAGGCAAAGTCGGTTGGTTTATCTATCGAGATGACTATGGGTAGGTGGTCTGATGCTAAAGTCAGCATAGGTCGCCATGTTATGCTGTTTATCAGACCAGCGCTGACTATGGTGATGTCTGGCGAGCTACTGCAGTTACCCATAATCCTGGTGGATGCGTCGTCGTTCATTGTGCAGAATGTCGAATCGTCTATCTGCTCAGCCAAGTCTATTCCCCTACGATCGTTTGAGAGGCTTGAATGCCAAAGATTGTGATGCGCATTAAAGTCACCTACTACCATACGGTTTTCATCTCTGAGGAGCGCACCTATATCAGGGTGATATCCTGCCGGGCAGCAGGTGACAGGGGGTATGTATATGTTAAATATTTCGAGCTCAACATCGCCTGACCGGATAGCAATGCCCTGACATTCTAGGGTGGTATCCCTGCGGTCGATGTCTGCTTCGATTAGACGATACTCCACGGTGTGGTGCGTGATGAACGCTAAGCCACCACCATTATCTCGCTTGCAATCTCGACGGTGCACGTTGTACCCGGCGCCTACGTCCCCATTAACACTAACTCAATATTTTCAATAATCCAAACCCAGCTTAAGATTTTAATAATGCTCAAAAAAAAACATGATAATAATGTATCTGCCTACCTACCTACCTGGTATTGGAATATGTATATGATTGTACATATGTGCATAAATATCAAATATGTATGTATCGCTATATCAAGTAATTTTAGCAAAAAAACGACTTAAAAAAGTATATATATATCTATATATTTCATGATTCAATGTTCGTATCTAAACCAAATTAGTATGGGACTACCTCTGAGACACTACCTTTCCGTTGGAATTATCGGAATCGGTTGACTTGGTCCAAAGTTATGGGTAACATACCTAAAAACAAAAAATATTCCGACGAACTGATTACCTACTCCTTTTTTGGAAGTCGGTTAAAAAGAGGAATCAATTCAAATCGTACTCGCCTTGGCTTCCAGCGATGATGATACCAGCATGCTGTCGAAAACCTGTTCGGAGTTATAGAACTTACTGCAAATGGTCATACATACATATTTACTCCTCAGCCTATGCTCTGAGCTCTTTACCTACTGCCCTACTCACAGTATTATCACTCGCTCGTGGTTCGGGGCATCGAGCGGGTCATAGTACAGCGCGCGAAACTAATTATAACCAGAAAAACGTGAATGTAATTTACAGAAAAAACCAAATTGAGAATAATAATACTAAACTGGCAAAAAAAAGGAAAATTTAAGCTAAGAAAGAAAGTGCTGTGCCGTCTAAAGCGCGGATTAAAAAGTGTACAAATATAGATATGTGTACATATGTATGTATGTGCCACGTGCATACATGCTTATGTACCTCTATTCACAAGCATGTATATATGCGCGAAGGTATATGCTTAAGTACACATCAAGAATGATAGAATACAAGATTGCGCCGATTGCAGCAGAATTCGGGAGAGTAATTTTGGCGTGACATCACCGTAGAGTTGACAACTGAGAGCGCCAAATAAAACTGCTGTCTAATGATGTGCTGTCGGTACCCAATACTTAAAAAAGGCTTCTGTACCCAACACTTCCTTATCGGTACCCGATACTGATTCTTTACATAAAACCTTCGCCATTATATGCACTTCAAGTTTAGAAAAAAATTTTAATTACTAATTTATATGATATCGGATAAAACACTTGAACTTATCGCAACAGAGAAATATTATGATCAGTTTTAACCATAGTCGATCCAAGGTTCAAGAAAAATACTTTGACGGATGACGAAGCCTTTCATACCATACGTCTGATTCGAAAAATGTCGCTAACTAGTTAGAGAATCCGTCGCTAACTGGTTACAGAATCTGCCTACAAAAATGATATCGTCCGATTCAGCTGGAACAAAAATGCTTTAAACAAGTAAGAGTTTCTCTGTATTATGGCCTCGAACCGACATATATACATCTTTCATTTGAATCAGTATTAAAAGCTCTATTGGCTCCTACATTCGGGGTTTGATAGGCGAGTCTCCCCTGAACCGTTGTTTTCCATATTTTTGGCCTATGTGCGCTTTTATTCGAAACCTAAATTTTGCGGTACCGAGTATCGAGAGTATTGGATACTTAAAAGTATTGACTCAGCACATCTCTACTGCTGTCATATCGACTGTGACGTCAGCAAAACATCTGGTTCTGTCAAATTCACTGAGAGCCGATTAGCGGTATCGTCATCGGCGCCACCTTCTGTATTCTCTCCACTGTGGGTACACATATGTATGTGCATATATATGTCCACATGCGGCCTATATTAAGAAAAAAAAAGAAACAGTGATCAAATTTATTGCTGAAACTAAAACTGAGCAACAACAAAAGGATTTGAATAAGTGATTTAAATACTACTCGGATGTGCAACAAAACAAAAGAATAAAGAAAACTAGAAAAATAAAATGCAAATTAATCAATTCAAATTTCCCAAATAAAAAACTAAATACCTCATTACATAT